TGGACCCTTCTCTGTGTGAAAATGTCCTTTTGCACTGTTGGAACAGATCCTCAAGGCGGGAGGCTGCTGCTGTGCTGGGAACGCTGTGGGAGCTCTGTACACAGCACGCTGCGGTGCCACACTGGAAAACCTGTCCTATGGCCTGGAGACAAACGGAGAGAGGCTGACTGGGCTCCTGAGGAGGGGTGGAGTCAGCTCTGACGTGGCTTGTGGTGCTCTGGTCCAGGCTCCTTTCCAACGCTGTAAGTAAGGCTGACGGAGATCTGATGGACAGGGCGCCGCTGACAGAGCTATTCAAAGAAGAGGTGACAGAAGTTGCTGAAGTGTGCTGTGCATCATCAGTTTCTAATATCATACTTTCTACTGATGAAAATTAAATTTTACACACACTTGTGTGTATGTGTGTGGGTGTGTATTAAGCAGGGTTGCCTCAGATACTCTTATTATAATGTAAATGAAGTTAATAACAATAATCCATTCCACTAAATTTTCTTTGCACATTTCCACACGTCATAAAATGGAAAACAAGTTACGCTTACAATGCTCAAGATACGTTTTTCATTATGTTAAATCATATTGGGAAACCAAATTCATTTTATTTTATTTTAAGTTTATCTGTTGGGTATAGGTCGCACTGTGTAGCTCAGACTCATAATGAAGCACTTGTCTCAGCCTCTCCAGAGCTGGGATTCCCTGTGTGCATCAGCACAGCTTGTATCAGGGACAGCACATTGTGCCCAGGGTTCCAGGTCTGGCACAGCATGCGGTTCTGGGATCAAACCCTGGCCCTTGCACTTGCCAGGCAGGTGCTTGGACTGCCGAGCTATCTCCCCAGCCTGGGAACCCAAATGTAGAAGGTTAGTGCATTGAATGTTTTTTACTTTAATGCTCAGTGACAACAGCATGGGCAAATGCTCCTATGTCATTCACACAGTCGGGGATAATTCGTTTACTATACATGTCCAGAATTTTTCCATCTTGCTGAGCTGACTCTGTGTGTGTGTGTGTGTGTGTGTGTGTGTGTGTGTGTGTGTGAAATAACAACTCTCCTTCTCTGCATTCACCCAGTAACTGGAAACTCCATTTTGCTATCAGAATCTGTGATTTCACCATAATGGGGATTTCACAGAAGTGAGTTCAAACGGGGCTTTTCCTTGAGCGGCTGGCTTATTTCACTTAGTGGAGCGTCATCTGCAGTTATCCGCGCTGCATCAAGCCTTCTTACTGTTACCTTTGAAAAATGAAACCCATTTCCCGGGGCATGTTTTGGTTGTGCGTTTGTCTGCAGAAGAAAATTTAAGGGTTTTTTTTTCCATGTATCTCCTGGTAAGTGTGCTACTATGACTCTGGTGGTGGAGTGTGTGCATCCCCTACTCAGGGTGCATGTCCAAAGGATAGTTACTCATTCACATTCAAGTTTTCTTCATGTTTTAAGCAACATCTCTGCTGGATTTCATCTCAGCTAGAAAAGGAAAAGAATAAAAACAATGATATACAATTTGAAACAAGATAATAGGGGACTAACAACAGTTAATATATTGAGTATTATTACCTTCAGAGTAGCTGTTCATACTATCCAATATAGGCAGGAAAAGTTAATCAGAGGATATACAGTCGTCCCTCACTTATCATGAAGGTTACATGCCAGACACCCCCTGAGAAGTGAAAATCAGCAAAGTTGCAATGTTATGTATATTTTAGTACTTATATAACTTTTATGTCTTTATAAACCCTCTATGTACACTCTGATAAAAGTTTTGCACACTTTTAAAAACAGCGTTCTGGGCCAGGGAAGACAGGTCAATAGAATAAGTGTTTGCCTGGCAAGTGCAAGGTCTTGAGTTCAGTCCTCAGTAACACACACACACACACACACACACACACACACACACACACACTCATATCAAAAAACGTGTTCTATTATTCTTAACCATTGTCTAAATTCTTAAACCCAAGTAATTTTGGCAACATCCATAGATTGTACACTACCTCCAATTCCCATGATATATTGAAAAATCTGCAATGGATAATTCAGATCAGCAGCTTTTGAAAACCCATGAGTCTGCAAAAGTCAAACCATGAAACAGTGAGGGACTGCTGTAAGCATAAGGCTTTCTTTTCAATGAAGCAATAGAAATTAGTAATGTATCTTAGCTATCGTATGCATATATGTATATGAGTGTGTGTATTTTTCTTTTCCCTTTCTAATTCTCTCCTTTCCTCACCCTATTTATTATTTCTTTTTGATTAGCTTGTTCCTATTTCACAATATTTATTGTATAATAACAATCTTATTTAGTTTTTGATTCTCATGCTAGGGAGAAAATAAAATTTGTGCATATATGATTCTGATATATTTCATTGACAAGTATGTTGTCTATTTGCAACCATCAAATTTATCTTTCTTAGTGCTGAGTAAAACGTCATTGTGTTAAAATCCTACAGCTTTTAAATCTATTCCTCAGTTGGTGAACATTTTGGTTGTTTCCACGATTTAGCTATAACAAATTGTGAGGTTATAAAAATAGGTACAGATACATATTACTGTAGAATGATAATTTCAGTTTTTAATTCTTCTGGAAAAAGAGCCAAGAGAAGAATAGCTGAGTTGAGTGGGAACTCCAATGCTAATCTTTGAGGAAACTCCACACTGATTTTCATGGTGGTTGTACCAGTCGACACTTCCAACAAGAGTGGAGAAATGTTCTTTTTTCCCAGAGCACCTCCAGCATCTGTTGTTGGTTGTCTTTCTGAGGATTGGCAATCTTTCTTGAGTGAGATAGAATGTCAATGTTTTAATTTGTGTCTCTCAAAAGACTAATGACATTTAACATTTTTTATGTATTTATTTTCCTCCTGTATTTCTTCTGATAAGTGTGTTTTCATTTCAGATGCCCATTTTTGGATTGGTTCTTGATTTGGGACAGGCTGCTATTTTTCATTTCTTTATATGTTCTAGACAGAAATCCATTGTCTGAGACACAGTGGTTTCATAAATTCTACATGTCACAAGAATGCAGAGATTGCCAAATGCTCCACATCTATGTTATAAACTAAATCTTAATCCAATAAGGAAGTAAACCATTTATAACATTTTAAAATGAAATAAAAATATTATTGATCTGCAAATTTTTATATTTCCTCTAAAAACTTTAAGTAATAAATTGTTGCTCCATGACATGGTAGAGCCCCCTATGAAATTGGATTCTACTTTTCAAAATTGGTTCCTTACATAAAAAGTTTACAATTCTAAAATGAATCATCATTACTTACACTGCTAAATTTTCCAAGTTACTAATGACCTATACTTACTCACTGTTCTTTCTGTTTTTAGGAGGAGCTACAGGAATATAGCATGGAAAATTACACACAGCCCTCTACTGACTTCATCCTCCTGGGCCTCTTCTCCCCATCAAGGACTGGCCTTGTTCTCTTCACTCTCACCATCGCCCTTTTCCTGATGGCGCTGGCTGGCAACCTGTGCATGGTCCTGCTCATCCTCCTGGACGCCCACCTCCACACACCCATGTACCTCCTGCTCAGCCAGCTCTCCCTCATGGACCTCATTTACGTCTGCACCACTGTGCCCAAGATGGCATCCGGGTTCCTATCTGGGAACAAGTCTATCTCGTTCATTGGCTGTTATATTCAGAGTTTTTTCTTCTCAAATTTAGCAAGTGCAGAAGCACTGATTCTGATGTCCATGGCCTATGACCGTTACGTAGCTATCTGCTTTCCTCTGCACTACTCCATCCGCATGAACAATAGGACATGTCTCCTGATGATTGTGGGATCGCTGACAGTGGGTGTTGTCAATGGCTGTGCCCACACATCGTATGTCTTTCACCTTCCATTTTGTGAGCACAGAGTTATCAATCATTTCTTCTGTAATGTCCCTGCCATGTTGACACTAACCTGCATAGATACCAGGATTTATGAGTACATCTTAACTTTAAGTGCCAGTCTAATTCTCCTGATTCCTTTCCTGGGTATCCTTTTGTCCTATGGTCTGGTCCTACTTGCTGTCTACCGCATGCGCTCCCGGGAGGGCAGGAAGAAGGCCTACTCAACCTGCAGCACCCACCTCACTGTGGTGACTTTCTACTATGCCCCGTTTGCTTATACTTACCTCCGCCCAAAGTCTCTCCGATCTCCAGCAGAGGACAAGGTCCTGGCTGTCTTCTATTCTATCCTGACACCAATGCTCAACCCTCTCATCTACAGCCTGAGGAACAAGGAGGTGACGGGGGCTCTGGGGCGAGTGAGTCAGAGGATCTGTGCTGTGAAGATGTAGGAAATTTGTGCTTCACTATCTGGAACGGTGAATATCCACTAGAAAATAGTTCTTGCCATGACCTCAAGCACTACCATTGATCTTAAATTTGTGGGGCTGACAAAATAGCTTGGCAGTCTAAATGACCTTCTGGCAAGAGCAAGGACATGTGTTTGATCCTCAATACTGCATTCTATGTTGGCCCCAGAGCACCAGGTGGCCATCCCATCACTGAAACCTGTAGCACACATCACCTATAATCCCAAAGTTGGGGAGGGTGAACAGGAGGATCACTATTAATCTGAGCTACATAGTGAAACCCTGAATTAAAAAAAAGATTGAAGTTTAGATAAGTCATGCAAGTATGTATTCAAGTTGGTTTTTCTCTAGCTTCTCCCATTCCACTACAAATACTTTATGTTTGCCATTAATAGGAGAATGTTATTTTGTTAACATGGAGAAATGGAAAAGAGACTGAGAACATTGTTGCAAAGCTCCAAAGCATTTAGTTTGATCAAACACTTTGCTGGATTTTTAATTTTTGAAAAATAATACAGTAAAAGACATTGACATCATACCCCTCAAAATCCTACACCTCAGTTAGGCACACATGTCTTATCTTTGGTGCCAGTTTTTGAGCAGTTTTTCATTCTTTCTCGTTGCTAGGTGAGATGCCCTTTATGTCTGGAATTAATTCTACCCCTTTGCCTTCTGTGGTTATTCCGAGCTGGAAGGAGTACTTGAATTTGCACAGTGTTATCCTTGGTGAAGAAAGTGGAGGAAAATACACTTTTTCTTTTTCCATCAGATGCCACTTTTCAGATTTCACTATATTTTTCTCATCACTAATGTTACCACAAAGACATTTGAGAACTGTATCAGAAGGGACAAGACAATAAGCATATTTAAGTGAGGACAAAAAGCATGACAGGCACCAAAGTCAGTGTATCATTTTTTATGACATCATTATGTGCAGAATTAATGTCTTCATTCTGCATTTTTTGCAAACTAAAATTAGTAAGCTATTTGAAATTACAGTAAGCATTTGCAAAAGTCCAGTCTATCAGAATAGAAAAATCACCTTCCCTATTGTAAACAACTTTGCACTAGCAGCATTAGTTAAACTTCCTAAATATTTTCTTCCTTCAGGTTCATTTATCTTGAGGGTACACTTTTAGATCACATTTTAAAATTCTTCTTTCTGGAAAACACATATTGCAACTTAGAACAATAAGAGCAATGAATGATTTTCGTAGATAATCAGGAAGATAACTCAGAAGGAATGGGGTGTAGCTTGCGATTTCTTGACACAGACCCCAGATTTGCCTGTTTGGATCCCACAGAAGTTGTCTCATAAAGTGCCTGCTAGTGTTTAGAAATGACATGTGGAAAATGTCAATTCAGTTTTTTAACTTTGTGTAAGAAATGATTTCTGCTCATATCTATGTATTTTTAGCAAATCTTGCATGATGTGGCAACAGATGGAAGAAATCTGTAGAAAGTGAGTAGAGAAGAGCCTTTCTTACCCAACCTGTGGCCGAAGTGTGGCTGGTGACCCTCTTGGGCCATAACACTCCAGCCCCGAAGGTTTTAGTGAACAAGTGATGTGAACGTGATCATTAAGACTGAGCTTTTGCCTTGACTAAGTAAAATGTTGAACTAAAGAACGCCAGAAGTGGAGTTGTTAAAATATTCTCTTCAAGTGAAAATTTCTCATCATATCGAGTTTCATGCTAATACCATAATAAGAAAAAAGGCAGTAACATTTTTCCTGTCAAAATGTTACATCGTTTCACTCAGGGGATGCCCAAATTGGGAGCAAAAACAAATATTCGTGTAGGAATCCACCTCAAGTCTCCAAGTCCTTGGTAAGTGCTCAGCGCAACCGGGAGGCAGGAATCCTCCGCTTCCAGCCAAGGCGGAGAAGCAGCAGAGTCCCGGGAGCTCACGCCCGCGCTCCTCACTGCAGAGAAGAGTCCGTGTGGAGCGCTCTCATTTTCGGCTACTCACCGTTGAAAAGACTGGTCAGCCTGCGCGTCCAGAGCCGCAAACTGCCTTCGTCCTGGACTTCGGTGCTCCTCGGCCCGCCCCTTGCACCCTTCCTTCCTGAGCAGCTGATGCAAATAGAGTGCAGAATCTGACCTGAGCAGCTAGCGGGCTCAGCTGGCCGCTGAACCGCTTGTTCACTCTGATGGAGAGGACGTAGAATGCTCTGCAGCTGGTGAACCCCAAAGAGAGAGCGTGACGGGGAGACTCTGCTCTGAGATTGGCCCCGCTGGGCAGTTCCAGTGCACTCCGAGGACGGAGTGTGGAAGGCGGGGTGCAACCCAGAACGCAAGTGATCCGGACCGCAGGATCAGGAGGTGAAGTCCGTGGAGCTCTGCTGAGCTTCCCGCCACGTTCACCTGCCCAAGGCCGGACCTGCGAGCGAGCGACCCAGCTCCAGGCAAACGCTGGGTCAGGAGCGAAATGCAGCTGTGATCAGCGCAGGAGGCACAGGCTGGGCATGGGTCACGGGCGCCGGCTCATCTGCCCCCAGAATCGTCCCAATACTGCTTGGTCTATTTGTAAAATCATACTCCCTGTGCATGGGTATTTGTTTGCATTTTGCTTTGCTTCTACATGAGTTTTTAACTTATTTTTAAGCATTTTATTCTAAAGAGAACACAAATAAGAGAAAATGTGGAAACAAGATGACAGGAAATCAACAGTGTTTGTTGCATTGCCTACTGTTATCTTCAAAGCAGTCGTTCAGATTACCAGATATAAGCATGCAAAATTGCTCAAATAAAAAATAAGCATTATATATATATATATATATATATATATCCTGCTTGTGTGTTATTTTTTATGCTCTTTCTTTCTTTCCTTCTTTCCCTAAAAATATTTTTCCTTTCACAGTATCTATTGTACCTTTCAGATTTTATTTACTCTTTCAGGTTCTCACACTGTGGAGACAACATGATAGTTACCCTTGCAGTCTGATTTATTTCACTTATGAATCTGGCCTCTACTTGTACCCATGTACATATAAAAGTAGTGAGTATGTGTTTCTTCTTAGTTGAGTGACACTCAAGTGTACAGAAATGCCGCTTCTTTCTAATCCATTCCTCGGTTGACGGGCATCACAGCAGAGCCTGGGCGCCCACGTCTATAGCAGTGAAAGTGCCGTGGCTGAGGTGTTATGCCTTTGATGCGACACAGCTCCCTGCAGCACATAGCGCACCCGCGCCCTGAATCCGTAAAACATCTCTGAGGTGGACCAGCTGTGGGGCCCGCAGTGCCGCACATCTGCAGCCCCGCATGGGTAATTCAGCACGGTGTGTACAAGGCGGGCAAGGCCTTATCCGGATCATTGTCTATGTAAAAGATTGATAGCCTTGATGGGAAATTTTTGCACTTAGTTGTAATAATATTGAAAAGTATTTACAGGGACTGCTGTAGTTTCAGTGGTTACTGGAAAACTTTCCATGAGAATAAAGGAAGGCAATTATTAGTCACAAGCTGCAAAAGAAATGACTGTGATTCAAAGGAGACATGCTAAAATTTCCATTTTGTTCTAATTATAGAACAGTTTTGGAAGCAGAGGAAAAATATTTAGGAAACCTCTTCCATTTTGAAGACAGAGGAAGAAAGAAGAAAATCTCTGCATTGCAGTGTAAGAATTTTCTTGCTCAGATTTGTCTATGGTTGAGATTGGCTTGCATCTTTCAATGATAATTGGCATTTCATTTATAAGATGAACTAATTCATCCTTGAAAACCTCAAAGTAGAATGGGGTAGGCAAAAGTATTTAAAATTTTTGAGTTTAGGTAAAATTATTACACCATATTTCGAAAAAAATGAGATTTTTCACAAGAAACATGAATAAAATCATATCAGGATACTACAAAAAGAAACTGTTCAAAAATTGTAAAAAAAAATCATTAAGCCATATAAAGGAACAAATATTAGCTCTGGAAGAACAAAATTAAATAGCATCTTATTCCACATTAGAAAAACAAAAGAAAAATAACGTGGGTAAGAAACTAGACTTACTTATTTAAAGAACTGCAAAACAATAGATCTGTCTCGTGGTATTTTATACTTGGCAAACATACCTTTGAAAACTAAAAGTAAAATATTTTCAGTTTATACAAACTTGAAATACTCTAATTCCTCCAGATGTAGAATATAGAAAATATCAAAGACCATAATGCAGAAGGTGAGAGAACTTGCTGCATGTTCCTGAGTAAAGAATAAAAAGCTGTCAGAATGATACTTATTCAGGACTTTGTATAATATAATTATATTAGATGAAATAATTTAAAAGGTCACTGAAGATTTCCACAAAACAGTACCAATCTTATGTCTGGTTATCTACATACTTTTCATGTGTGTGTGTTTATAAAAACAAAGAAAAACTAATTTAATTTCAAAGGAAAATAGAAATACACATTTCAAAAATTCTAAAACTAAGAGACAATATCACTTAAAGGAAAACCCATCAGAATAACGGCAGATTTCTCTTTATAAACCATCAAATCAAGAAGAGCATGGATCAAAGTACTTCAAGTCTTGCAGGAAAACAAATTCCAACCCAGACTGACATATCCTGAAGAGCTCTCTTTCAAGTTTAATGGAGAAGTGAAGTACTTCTGTCACAAAGAACAATTAAAGTATTTCATGGTAACTAAACCAACACTACACAGACTACTAAAAATATTCTAGAGGGGGATCAAAATGACCACACTTCCATGAATCAGAATGGAAGGAACCCACCAAATAGGGCAAACAATTAAACACAGGAGAAAAAGAGGAACACAACAGCAATCTTTCAATTATTCTTTTGTATACAGCAGCAAAACATTTCCATCAGCATGCTCTACAAAGGGACTTCTCCTGCACCTTATAGGTCATGACTCTGTCCGGATCTACAGGGTTAATATCAAGGAAATGACAGCAGCTCAGTCCCACAAGTGACACCTGGCTACCAGTAAGAAGCATGGACACTGTCCACATCCACCATATACTAGGACTTT